ATCCATATGGTTTTCTTCCATAAAATAAAAGACACATTTTTCACTTTCACCAATAACTTTATTGATCTAGGTATCTTGAGTATGTCTACTATCTTCCCTCCCGGTATAATGTTGATTGTTCTCAGTATCTGGATTTGATAGCCATCAACTTCAACTTGTCTACCTGACTACAGAACATTGTCCAGTGAGAAATCTCCAGCACAAAACAGCCTAAGTGCCCATCAGTAGATGAGTGGATCAAAAAGCTGTGGTACACAATAGAATACTATGCAGCAGAAAGGAAGAGGGAGCTCCTACCCTTTACGACAGTATGGATGGAACTAGAGAGCATTATGCTGAGTGAAATAAGCCAGGTGGTGAAAGACAAATACCATATGATCTCACCTATAAGTGGAACCTAAGCAACAACAAACAAGCAAGCAAAATACAACCAGAGACATAGAAATGACAAACTGACAGTAACCACAGGGGAGGGGAGAAGGGGATAACAGGGCAAGGCAGGGGAAGGGTCATCAAGGAACATGGACAAAGGACCCATGGACAAAGACAACGGTGAAGGGAAGGGCCCCGATGGCAGCAGGGAGGATTGAATGTGGCAGGTGGGGGGTGGGTAGGGTGGGAGAGTAATGGGGGTAAGTGGGGACAAATGTAATCGCACAACAAGAAAAGAAAGTCTCCAGTGCAAAAATTCACAAACCACTTTTGACTCACTTGATTAGTCATAGCATCTTTTCCATACACTGAACAAATATTTTTTTGTGTGTTTCAGCTGCATTTTTACTTTTCTTGAAATAATAAAGCATAATATGCTGAAAATGTTTCAATATTAACATGGCTACACAAAAATTCACCAATTTGGTAAGTTTTTTCTTAAAAATGCACACTGACATAACTGTCACAATACAATCTATCAAAATTATTTTGAATAAAGTTAAAAGACAACTAAGCTCTACTAGAACCACTGTATCAAAAAAAAACCAACAATGAACTTTTTAGCCAATGCAATAATTTTAGGTTGTTTCTAGTTTTGCCATGTTATCAATAATGTATTCATGAACATCTCTGTGGAAAGCTTTCTTTTTAAAGTAAAATTTTTTTAAAATATATTTTTTTTATTTATTTTTAGAGAGGAGAGGGAGAAGAGAGGGAGAGAACCATCAGTGTATGGTTGCCTCTCACATGTCCCCCACTGGGGACCTGTCCTGCAATCCAGGCATGTGCCCTAGAGTGGGAATTAAACTGGCGACCCTTTGGTTTGTAGGCTGCTGGCACTCATTCCACTGACCCACACCAGCCAGGGCTCTGTGGAAAGCTTTGATTATCCCCTTGTAATACTTTCAAAATAGTGCCTATTTGACTTTGAGATATATGATTTACTGGCAACATAACTTATTTTGATCACTATTAGATTACAGTGGACACCCTGATGTCAAGGGGAGAGGCAATCTGAGTAGCAGGTTATATGGAAAGGCTATGAACAATTTTATTGTGTTTGGATGCTTTACACACTTTTTTTTAGCAGTGCTGATGAACTATTAAGTGGCAAAATGCTGAAAATACTAGTTACACTAATGCAGTATTTTGAGTAGTTATGGTTATACAGAAACCATTCTGTACCAATTCTGTTTTTTAAGGATGGTCACAATTTTCCCTTAGGTTTAAGAACTGGGATAGAATGGATTATTTTATAATTTTTAAAAATCCTCTCACAAGGATATGTTCATTGATTTAGAGAGAAGGGAAAGAGAGACAGAGACTGAGATGGAGAGAAACATCTGTGTGAGAATGAGGGAAATCAGCTGCATCCTATTAAGTTCCCTGACTGAGGATGGAACCTGTAACCTAGGTAAGTGCCCTAACCAGGAATCAAACTTGCAAACCTTTTGGTGTTTGGGACAAAACTACAATGAAATGAGCCACCCATCCAGGGTTAGAATGGATTATTAAGGTCCATAACGAGGCCAAATTTTTTTATAGTTAAGTAATGTCCTAGAAGTATAATTCCCAGGTTAAAGAGTTTTACATTTTCATCATTCTTGATATATTTTGATAAATTATGCTATGGGAAAGTTGAACCAATTTACTCTTTGTCCAAAAGGGTCAGGAGAGTTTAACAGAGGAAGGGATACTTAAACTGTATTGAAATCTGATGGAGATTGATCAAGTGGAAGGGAGCAGCATATTCCAGGCATATGCAAAGACAAGGAGTCATCTAATAATAAGGTATATTTTGGGGCTCCCTCTTTAGGGACAGAGTTACACTACCAGTCTTTCATGGCTGTGCTGCCCTAGGAAGTCTCTCTGGCCAGGCTGCACTGCCTTGGTTAAACCCTTTGTTCTTGGTTCTGTTTGAGTTTGAAATAGTCCCTCATTCACTAAACTAATGTTTATGGAGTGCCTACAAGGGACGAGGTAGTAAGGGAATAGAGAAGGGGAGGAGATAAATTCATGTAATTCTAAAACATCTGGACTTTTTCTAAAAGCAGCTGGGATCTATTGAAGTGGTTTAGGCAGGAAGGTGTTAAGCTAGGCATTAAATAGAGCTACCACTGCCAGCAGTGTTGAGCATGGGATAAAGAAAAGCTAGAGCAGGGGCATGGAGACCAGTTGTCCAAGCTAGAGATAATGAGGCCCTGAGCTAGGGTAGCAGACATAAAGAAGGGGATGGATATGAGAGACAGTTAAAGTTATAGACTGTTTCTTGTCTTCTAGGAACTCACAATATAGGGGGAGATATTAAAAAGCAATTAAGGCAATAAAAATAGTATCACAAGTGCAATAGGGTAAGTACATTAGAGGACCATGTATTTCTCAAATTAGTGGAACTGACATTGAAGCTGAGATATAAAAGGTGTATGGAAAAGTATTACAATAATGTATAACAGCTTGGCAGAAAAAAGAGACCCGTTCAAAGAATTTAATTCCATTGGCTGACACTTAAGATACACAAAACCGCTGGTACTTAAGAGTACAAGAATGGGGAGTTGCAAGAGATGAGGTGGTAGAGGTCAGATAATGAGACTTAAAAAATCAAGTTAAATGCTTAATTTTACCCAGAGGGCCATGGAGGAGGTGCTGAAGAGTTTTAAGCAACTACGAAGATCAGATTTGTACGTTAGAGACATCACCTAGAGATGTAAGCATGGAGAATCTATAATACTTGGTTGAATGAGGGTGAAAGACAGTCAAGGATCTTGTCAACCAGATATTCAGATCAGCTTGTTCAACTTATAGTTTTGCTTGGTGCACACAGAATCTGAACAAAAGAATTGAATTATATGATTTCAGTTTTTGACCTGTTTGGAAACCACCTTTGTAACTCCTGGGCTCTGGAGAGATCCTGCTATTAAAACCAGTGAAGCAAGAGATAGCATAGAAGAACTCTGAGACTGTAATACTGTCACTGGCCAGCATTTAGCACCCTGGTTGCCAGGAAACGCCCTTTACCAATTAGGTAGAATAAATAGTAAACCGAGGCAGGGAGGAGGAAGGAGACAAGTGTCACATGCTAACTTAGCAGTCCTAAGCCTGTTCTGATAATATTGCCAGGTGTTTCAACATCACAAGAAACACTATATTAGCAAGAAAGAAAGTCCTTGAAATTCTATGTAACATTTCCACTATCTGGGAAAGAAAGCCTTGAAACTGTGCTTTCATCCCAAGGCCTGAATGTGGGAGAGGGTCCCACAAGGGGAGTCCCTTGATGCTTAGAGAAAGAGCCCATAAATAACTTTGGAAAGTGCCCCAATTTTAATTAACTGCCTCCTGTCACGTATTTGTTTTACAAGATGACCAAATGGTGTCTGGAACAAGATAAGAATTCTGGCGGACAGACCCCCATTCATCCCTAAATTTGGGTAGTCGGGTAGTCACATTTCCCCAGAAAAGCTGGCGCCACATTTACCGGTTAATCAATATGTAACTTTTTTCTTTCCTACCCCACCAACTATTCCGAGAACACAGGGGACACGCTCTCGCTCTGTCAGGGACTCTTGGCTCTGGGGCCACAAGGCCTGTGGCTACCCGGCCTCAGGCTCCAGGGGCTTGCCACCCTGGTCTCCAGCCTCTCTTGCTTTCCTCACCCTGCTTTGACCTGAAACTTTGCCTTTCACCCCCTACTCTACCCAGTCCTGTTCTCTTCCATGGAAGCAGACCACTAATAAACTGATTACATACTACTAGATTTGCTGATATGTAATTCTTTACATGCGTCAGCAAGAAGAACCAGGTCTCTCCCGTCAACACCAGGACATCCTCTCTCTCCTAGAAGAGGCTTGGATTCATCTGCGACAAGAGCACCTCTCTTGTATTCCATGCTTCAGTTAACAGGTCCTCCAAAGAATGATTTTCTTTCGTGATATATAGTCAACTCTTGAAGGCCTGGTAAAATTTTGTTCCTTTGAACTAACTCTGCTTATCTCTATTCTAACCTTGTAATTATGAATTTTACAGTTTTTTTTCTCAGAGGACAATCTTATTTCTACGCTCTAGGGGACACTGCATTGCCAAATATGCTTCATCACCGAACAGAAAGCAAAAAATTACAGCCCCACTTATCCACCTAGACAGGCCCAGCTCCTTCAAAAAACCTTTCCGAGTTATTCTGCCATCCTGACGGTGCGTCATTTACCCAGAGACAGTCGTGTGCACATTTTAATTTGCCTTTTCGGTTCTCTGTGGACAGTAATGCGGCTCGCACGTTTTTTTTTTAACCTCCGGTATTGGCGACAAACCTTTTCCAATCGGAGTTGACTACTCCCAAGGGCTGAGCGCAAACTGAGGAAACTCCAGCACTAACGTGCAAAGCCCGGCCTGGGAGCCCCAGCTCCCCGCCCGCCCCAGCCCGCGGCAGCGCGGCTGGCATAACCCACCTGCTGCTTCCGCTGGCGCACACAGCAGCACGGCTCCCAGCATTCGCCGCTCAGCAGGAACTGCACGCAGCGGCCACGACCCGGCACCGCCCCGGAAGTAGCGCAAGGGGGCGGGGCCTCGCTCTGGCCCGCGCAGTCAGCATGGAGCCTGGTTGGGCACACCGCGGGGTTTTTGAGGGACCATGGGAGTGGTGGATCCAGCGCCAAAGCAGATTCGAAGCAGGGTCGGAGTGCACGACTTAAAGCCATTGATTCCCCCAGTTCAGGTGGGCGCTTCCGCCGCGACAGAGGGAGCTAAGGCTACCGGGGCGAAGGTAGGAGGGGCGGCCTCGTCAGGCTGGAAGGGAGCAAGCCTTAGGGAGTCCGCCAGAAATCCCGGGCACCCTGGCCACACACCAGGCCAGAGTGCCAAGGAGTAAGTACTTTTACTGAACGTTCAGGCATTGCTCTGGGTCCTCAGCGGATCTCCTCTTCGCAGTCCCAAAAGCAGATAATTCATATGAAAGGTGAGGACATTGTATTCGCTCAAAGAAAGATGGTAATAGGTACAAAGGAGTGGGTCAGAAAACACAGGGAGGCAAATGAACGTTACTTCTTGGAGTGCCCCTTATTGCAGTTGGTAATAAAGTCCTTGTGGCTCATCCAGATGGGAAATTACCCTTGCTAGGGTTAGCAAGCCGAAGTTTCAGTTAACTATTGCTGCATAACGAAGTGCCTCAACCATTGGTGGCATAAAACAGCTATTTATTATTTCTAACACTTATATGGGCAAGTTGGGTGATTCCCCTGCTGGTTCCACCTGGGCTTATACGTGTGGTTTCAGTCAGCAAGGGTTGGCTGAGCTGGGTGGGGAGGTCCTGGATGGCCTTATTCATACCCTTGACAATTGGTGCAGGCCTGCTGCTGGGGCACCTCAGTTCAGGCCTGGTCTTGGAAGTATCACTTGGGCCACATCTTATTGGCCAAAGCAACTGCAAAGCAAGCACAGAATTAAGGGATGGAGTAATGGACCCCCCCTCCCCCCAGCCTTGGTGAAAGGAGTCCCCGTATTTGTGATCCTCTTTTTCAATCTTCAACTGAAATCAATTTCTCCTTCAGTTAGAATAGAAACCGCCAAGACTTGCACCTTGCAAAAAGAAGCATCCAGTGTTCACACTTTGGTGATGCTGATACTGTTCATGATCAGGGCTCCATATAAAGCTGCAGTAGAGACACAATGGCTCCTCATTTATTCATTACCCTTTTGACTGAAGTCACTCTGAGTTAGTCTTTCTGGTATTATACAGATGGGAATGGATTCTGTGGGGAGTTGGTCCCAGTGGGAGTTTTCCTAGTTATTAAAAATAGCTACACAGAACTTATTGCAGTCTGCTAATATTACATCTTTCTAAATTTTATTTCTCTGAAATCTGAGATGGTAGTTTTTTCCATCTAATTTCCTACTGAGGTGGATTTCAAGAAACTTATTCCCTCCTCCCTGTTGTGAAACTTTTTTCCTTTGGTTATTCTTTCCTGCTGGAACCTTCTTTTACTGGCACTAAACATGAATTCCATCTTATACTCACAATCCGCCAGTGACCTCACCTTTCTTTCCACCTTTTATCCTGTCTACTCCCGTTCAGAGCTGAGCTTATTCATGGTGTTGCAATACACATCCTGTATCCACTTCCTCACTTCCATCTACTTCCTCACTTCCCCTGAGTTTTTCAACCTACTCCAACATGGCTTCTATCATTATTCCATCAAAAGTGCCTTGGAGGGGGTGGTGAAATGAGGAAAGGTGATTAAAAGGTACAAATTTCCAGCTATAAGATAGTTTTGTCCCAGGGATGTAATGTAAAGCATGGTAGTTAACAATACTGTGTACGGTATATCTGAAAGTTGCTACAAGCGTAGATCTTAAGAGTTTTCATCATTAGGAAAAAATTGGTAACAATGTGTGGAGATGTTACCTAAACTTACTGTAATCATTTAGCAATATAGACACACATAAAATCATGTTGACACCTAAAACTAATACAATGTCACATCAATTATATCTTAATTAAAAATAAAATAAAAATAATTTTCTTAATTTATTAAAAAAGCATTCATGGAGAATTAAGTCAGCTGCTTCCTTTCAAATGGTTGGGGATGGGGAGACGAAAAGGTCTTAGTACTATACTTGCAACTTTTCTGTAAATGAGATTGTTTAAAAATACAAGGAACATAATATATGTTAATAAAGACTGTTAGTAGTCCTACCCAGGCGCCATTTACCCTCCTTAATCCATGCATTCATTTTCCAGCTGCAGTGTGAGTGTAGGAGCTGTCCTGTCCACTTGAGTGATTCATGATACCTTTGTTCCCCCCGCCCCCCCCCCACTTTCAGGTGGTGGTGGGCAACCAATGCCCAACTGGTATGAGGGTACTATAGTTCCCTTGCCTCAAAGTGGGACAGTGGAACAACTCTGCAGTGTGAACCAGAGCACCCTGTGGATCAGGGCAAGAATTTATCTGAGTCCTCATCCTTCATTGACTTCTGCTTCCCTTTCTTGCTTTCCTCACCTCTTTACAGGCTTTTCCCAAAAGTCATGTGCACCTGAATCTCTGTCTCTGGCAGCTTCTAGGCAATCTCAGCTAAGACAGTCACATACCAGCTCAATAAATTATATATATTATTATTAGCATCAATGATACCACCATTAGTTACAATAACAATGCAGTATACCATAGGTCTAGATATCCTTATTTTATGGATATGTTGAATTTAAAGTTTCCTACCATCCTTATTTCTGCTGTACTCCATTATTTTTATGTGGAAAATTGACTTATCAGAAACAACAGTAGAACTCTGAAAGTGCTCACTTGAAGATTCCACTTATAGAATTCTCCCAAGAAACAAAGTGAAGCTATTGTTCTGTTTAAACTCATTCTATTCCACCCCTTTCAGAAAATATTTGTGAATTTTCCTTTCCAGGTATGCTGCCTAACCTATGCCTTGGATGGGATTTGGGGATCCCAATTTTCTGATGTCTTAGCAGTAGTGGTTCTCAATGAAGGTAATTAATGATTGCGTTTTTTATTGTCTCAATGACTGAGACATTGGTCTGAATGACTGGGATGATAATGAAATCCTAGCATCAGTGCTGGCAGTGTCCCAACAAGAATACCTAGACAGTATGTAAAAAACAAAATGCACATAGATCCACCCCCAGACAAGAGTTGATGGAGACCCAAAGACTGAAGACCATCTCCCAGTTCCCCCACTCCTACTACTTCATCTTCTTTGGCTTTCTCCCTCTTGCCTTCTTCCTCCTCCCCACTTCCCTCTTGCTCACTCCTGTGCCCCCTCTCATGATTGTCACTACCACTATCACCTGTCTCTTAGCTAGTTGATGTGCCCTGTTGCCCCCTGCACAGCACCATCCCTGCATTCCACAGGGGATTCCAGCAAGGATGCCGAAGGCAGGTGAGAGGCACACAGAAACAAACCAACTAGCAGACAGGCAGCCCCAGAGGAGAGACATTCAGGCAGAGGCAAGCGTCCCTGACCCCCACACCTTCCAAGTTCAGGAAAGCTTGTCACCTTGCCTCCACAACTATGCCAGGGAAGTGGGAAGAAGTGAGGAATTCCTCTTCCCAGTATCCTGAGAATGCCTAAGCCTTCAATACTGTTTTTTCTTAATTAAAATGTACTTTTATCTTATAAAATTAACCAATCAACAATGAAAAGGATCATCCCAAATTCAACATCCAACACAAATATAAAATGTCCTGTTGGACATATGTGGACATGAAACACCAGTCTAAATATCTGAGCCAAGTCCCTTTTAGCTCACCAAGTGAGCTAAAGTCACTGGTGACATTCCTGTTGTTAGATCCTCATCTCACCTTTCAGTCACCTACCTCTACCATAAAGACTCCTGTGGGCAATCTTGACATTACCCCATCTTGGTTTTCCACCAACCTCACTGCCAACTCTCAGTCCCCTTTGCCAGCTCCTGCTGTGCGGACCAGCTCCTAAATGTTGGGGTTTCTCAGGGATTGATCTCAAAATATACATTCACCTTAAGCAATGTCAATTCATTCCTATGGCTTTAAATAACATTCCTGTACATGACTTCAAAATGTGTATTTTTAGTTCTATACATACAACTGTCTACTTGCCTTGGAAACCTGGTATGTCCCAAAACTGGGCTCAACAGCTCACCCTTTTCCCCCATGAACCTTCATGCACTTAGCCTTTTTTGCTAGAAACCTGTTCTTTTGCCTCACTTCCCACTTTCAGACCATCACTGTGTCCGGCCAAAGCTCACCTGGACTCTGTCCCCTTCTTCACACCTCAAGTGTTCACCATCATCTTACTTGGATAAGCACATCACAGCAAAGGCTATAAATGTGATGTTCTCAGAGAAGTTTCTAGTTCCCATTAAAAATCAAGTATATGTATTATGTTTCCTCTTCTGTCTCTCTGAACATTTTACTTTTTCTTCATGGCACGTAACAATTTGTATTTTATATAATTACTATCTGATATTCTACCCTGATAAACCAGACAGCAAGCACTATAAAGGCAGCAGCTATTTTACTTACCACTATATCCCCAGCAGCAAGCACAGTTCCAGGCTAGGTGAACAAATGAATGGTTTGTGTATTTTTTTCTCTCCCAAAGAATGATGTTCTGTAAATCATAAAAACCATCATCTTACTGGTTATGTCCCCATTCAACAACTTTTCAAACTTTTGGCTCAATATTCCCTACAAATACATTACATTTGTTTAGTGCTATTTGATATATAAAATATTGCATCCCTTAAAAGAAGATGCCTTTTTGACCCGGCTGGTGTAGGTGGGTGGATTGAGCACAGGCTGTGAACCAAAGGGTCACTGGTTCGATTCACGATTCTGGCAATGCCTGGGCTGCAAGCCAGGTCCCCAGTGGGGGCTACATGAGAGGCAACCACACAATGATATTTCTCTCCCTCTCTTTCTCCCTCCCCCTTTCTCTAAAATTAAAGAAAGGAAATCTTTAAAAAAAAAGATGCCTTTTCCTTTCTTTTGTATGAATATGAAGGAGTTTACTCAATTGGGCATTAGAAATAGTGATTAAATATTAAAATACAGGAAAATTCTCAAAACATACAAAATATAGTTAGAACTCACTGTATGTCCAGACACGAAATGGTTTTAATTATATCTAATATTACTTGAGACAATACTGTTTTTTTTAAGTATTTTTTGATTGTGCTATTACAGTTTTTCCAATTTTTCCCTTTATCCCCCCTCCACCCTTCCCCCCAACCCTCCAGCATTTCCCCCCTTAGTTCATGTCCATGGGTTGTACATATAAGTTCTTTGAGTCCTCCGTTTCCTATACCATTTTTATCTCTCCCTATCTATTTTATGCCTACTAATTATGTTTCTTCTTCCCTGTACCTTCCCCCCCATTCCTCCCTTCCCCCTCCCCACTGAAATCCCTCCATGTGATGTTCATTTCTCTGATTCTGTACCTGTTCTGGTTGTTTGCTTAGCTTTTGTTTTTGCTGTTTTTCCTTTTAGGTTCATTTGTTGATAGTTTTGTGTTTGTTGTCATTTTACTGTTCATATTTTTTACCTTCTTTTTCTTAGATAAGTCCCTTTAACATTTCATATAATAATGGCTTGGTGATGATGAACTCCTTTAACTTGACCTTATCAGGGAAGCACTTTATTTATCCTTCCATTTTAAATGAAAGCTTTGCTTTCATTTAATAACTTCAAATACTTCTTTCCAGCCCCTTGCCTGTAAGGTTTCTTTTGAGAAATCAGCTAATAGTCTTATGATCACTTTGTAGGTAACTGTCTCCTTTCCCCTTGCTTCTGTTAGCATTCTCACTTTGTCATTAATCTTGGGTAACTGAATGATGATGTGCTTTGCTGTGTTCCTCTGGGTCCAACTTCTTTGGGACTCTGGGCTTCCTGGACTTCCTGGAAGTCTGTTTCCTTTGCTAGATTGGGGAAGTTTTCCTTTATTACTTGTTCAAGTGAGTTTTCAATTTCTTGCTGTTGTTCTCCTTCTGGCACCTCTATAATTCAGATATTGGAACGTTTCAAGTTGTCCCAGAGGTTCCTAAGTCTCTCTTCATTTTTTTTGGATTCTTATTTCTTCCTTTTCTTCTGGATAGATTTTATTTCCTTCTTTTGTTCCAAATCGTTGCTTTGAGTCCTGGTTTCCTTCCTGTCACTGTTGGCTCCCTGAATATTTTGCTTTATTTTGCTTTGGGTATCCTTCATTTGTTTTTTCATTTTTTGACCCAGCTTAATCAGATCTGTAAGCATTTTAATTACTAGGGTTAAATTATCCATCAGATAAGCTGGCAATCTCCTCATTGCTTAGTTCTGAGGTTATGCTCTGCTCTTTCATTTGGGCCTTATTTCTTTGTCTTGGCCCAGCTGATAGGTTGTAAGGGGACAGAGCCTTAGGTACTCACCAGGGTAGGGCAACCCTCTTTGCCTCACTCCAGCACTGCCTGTGGGGGAGGGGCCAGAGAGAGAACAGTGCAGCTTGCCTGCTCTCTAACGCACTTTTCAACTCTCACGTGAGGGTGGGAGTATCTCCCACTAGGCAATCCCAGTGGTAGCCCACAGTCAGCTCTGAGTCCCCTTAAGTCAGCCCCTCCTACACAGCCCGCTAAGCTCAGGACCCAGCCCTGCCCCCAAGGCTGCCACGTTCCCATGGATTTTCTGAGTTGGCCCACTCAGTCTGCTGCCTTACCTGTTGTTCTGGTTGATTTTTCTTTAATTCTTTGGATGTCAGAGTTCTATGCAGTTTGATTTCTTGGCGATTTTGGTTGTTTACTGATTTTAGATTGGTTGTTATCCTCCTTTTGGTTGTGCGAGGAAGTGAAGGGTTTCTACCTATGCCTCCATCTTGGCTGGAACTCCTACTGTTTCAAACTAATACATATTTCAGTAGGGATGGCAAAATTATAAGAATTTTAAGGCTGTTTTATTATATTAAATATTGGTGGTATAAAGTGGTACCATCTGTAAGATGAACTATTACACATTGATTAACTATTTTGTAGCTCTGAAATGAATCCAATGTGGAAGAAAAATTAAGTTTTAAAAGGATGATAAAATGTGAAATGCTTTTCAAAGTATGCAATTTACTGGTCTTTTGCAGGTTTTACCTGCAGTGAAGTTTACAGAACAGAAATGCAAAATGCAGGAAGATAAAAGTCTGCTAAACAAAACCCCAAACTGGAAATCAACATACAAAATCGGTATACCAAGAAATGGTGTGACATACTGATGTCAAACTGGGCACTGTTTTATGTTTCTGATCACTTGTTAAATAAATATTTAATTAATATGTTTTGGTGCCATTTAAATACTGTTACTCAAAAACTCCAGTTATGACAAGGATAGAATGTAATACCAGAGACATTTGCTTTGAATTTTAGAAAGTTCTTTTCTCCCTAAAGTAACTAGTTTGAGTGTGCATCATCAAAAAATGTAGTATGAGGTGATTCATAAACAGTGAAAAAAATCAATCATCTTCTTTGATTTTGTTAGGTTTTCCTAATAAGGTCAACTTCTTATTCAACATGCCCTCTTAGTCAAAAGCAGTTTTAGGTTTCTTTGGTTTTAGGTACAAATAACTTCATTCCACATCTGTCACTTCTATTCCATCACTTTCTTTAACATAAACCACTGAACCCAAAGTTTTCTCTGAAAGAGATCCTGTACCAGTCTCTTTACGTCTTGTAAAGTTTTCTTGGTTTGTGTCTTCTAATTTTATTTTCTTGGTGTTTTGAAATAACTGAGTCACTGGTTCCAACTTGCTTTTCTCAGTCCCTTGCATTAAGTGATCATTCACTTTTGAATCCATACACATAGCAGATACTTGAGTAGCAGATTTACTAAGAGAAAATCCCATTGGAACAGCTGAATAAATACAGTGGTGGAAACACGGCCTCAACTTGATTGCTTGAGGGGAAAAAAATGGAAACAAGTGAATACAGCAGGAATTTCAATCAACTTCATGGCAATGTTCATTTTAATGGAATGTCATGGTGATGATGCCAAGAATATAAAGTAAAACACTTCTACCTCTTAGTGTTTACATTTTTTTCTGTGGGAGAGGTTGCAGGTTCTGCAGATTCTTTGAAAGTTGTTTTAAAAAGAAATTTACCAAGTTTTATGTATCATCAGCTTTAAGAAAATAGAACTTCTCTACTTGGCCTTTTCTATCATTATTGCTACTAAAAACTTAGTAATTATTAATGGATTAAGGAAATAATTACTGAAGTCCATACACTGTGCTAGGTATCCTCCAAAAAATAGAGGTGGCCAAACACTTGTAAACATACACCAAGTAATAACATACCATCAAAATACATGAGGCAAAAACTGCCAGAGCTGAAGGGAGAAATAGACAGTTCTACACTAATAGTTGGAAACTTCAATACTCAACTCTCAGTAATGGACAGAACTACTGCATAGAAGATAAGGAAATAGAAGACTTTAACAACCAATTAAAACAACTAGATTTACCAAAATATATAGAACATTCCACCCAACAACAGCATACACATTCTTCTCAAGTACACATGGGACATTTTCTAGGATGAACCATGTCCTAGGCTACAAATGGATTCTCAATAAATTTTAAAAGATAGATGTCATACAAAGTATTGTATCTTCTCTGATCACAATGGGATGCAGTTACAAATTAGTAACAGGCCCTGGTCAGGTAGCTCAGCTGGGTAGAACATTGTCCTGATACACCAAGGTTGCAGGTTTGACCTCTGGTCAGGGCACATACAAGAATCAACTAATGAATGCATAAATATGTGGAACAACAAGATGATGTTTCTCTCCCTTCTGCTATCCAAAGCCAATAAATAAAAATTTATTTAAAAAAATCAATACCAGTAGAAAAAACAGGAAAATTCCAAAATCTGTGGAAATTAAACAATACACTCTTAACCAATGGATCAAATAAACCACAAGGGAAATCAGAAAATACTTAGAGATGAATGTAAACAACAATACATCAATTTATGGGATGCTGAAAAATCAGTGCTAATGGGGAAATTTATAGCTATAAACCCATTAAAAAAAAAAGACCTCAAATCAACAGCTTGGCCACTTGAGGAGGGAAGAAAAAGAACAAACTAAATCTGTAAGTAACAGAAGGAAGGAAATAATAAAGATTAGAGCAGAGATCAATGAAAATAGACCCCAGAAAAACTAGAGAAAAAAGTGAAATAAAAAGTTTTCAAATTATTAAAATCAGAAATGCAAGTGGGTGACATTAATAGCATTATAGAGAATGCTATTAATAACAATGTCAACAAGTTGTATATCCTAGCTGAAATGGACAAATTCCTAGAAACACAAAACTTGCCAAGATCAAGTTATGAAGAAAAAGAAAATCTAAATGAAGAAAATCTAAATAGGCCTATGACTACCAAAGAGATTGAATTAGTAGTAAAAAAATCTCAACAAAAAAGAGCCCTGGACTCACTGGCTTCACGTGAAAATTCCATTTACACTATTGTAAAGAAGAACTCACCAATATTTCTCAAACTGTTTCCAAAAAATTGAAGAGGATGGAACACTCCCTAATTCATTCTAGGAGGTCAGCATTACCCTGATACCAAAGCCAGGCAAACACATCACAAAAAAACTACAGATGAATACTCTATATGGACACTGATGTAATATCCTTAACAAAATACTAGATAACAAAATTCAGCAGTAAATTAAAAATACACAACATAACCAGGTAGAAATTATTCCTAGAATGAAAGGATACTTTGACATGAAAATTGATTCATGTAACACACTGTATTACAGAATGCAGGAAAAGAACCATGATAGTCTCATTTGATGCAGAAAAAGCATTTGATAAAATTCAACAGCCTTTCATGATTGAAAAAAACTCAGAAACTGGGAAAAGAAGGAAACAATAGAAGCCATATATGAAAAATCCATATTGAAGATCATATTCAATAGGGAAAACATTTCCTTTATAATCAAAAATAAGGCAAGGATGCCCAGTTTTGGCACTTCTATTCTAGCAAAAAGAAATAAAGGGCATACAAATTGGAAAAGAAGAAATAAAATTATCACTTCACAAATGAATATGATCTTATATATAAACTAAAGATTCCAAAAAAATTGTTAGAATAAATGAATTCAGCAAAGTAGTGGGATAAAAAGTCAACATGCAAAAATCAGTCACATTTCTGTATGCTAACAATGAACAACCTTAAAAGGAAATTAAGGAAATCATTTATAATAACATAAATGTAATAATAAAATACCTAGAAATTAACCAAGTAAATTAATCTAAAGAATATGAATGGCCAATAAGAACATGAAAAGATGCTTACCATCACTAATGGGGAAATGCAAATCACAACTATGAGATACTGCCTCATACCCAATAGGATGGTTAGTTTCAACCTCCCCCAGAAAATAACAAGTGTTGGTAAGGATGTGGAGAAACTGGAATTCTTATGCACTATTGGTAGGAATGTATAATGATATAACTTGTGGAAAGCAACTTGGCAGTTCCTCAAAAAATTAAAAATAAAATTACCATATAATCCAGGAAACAAACTTCTGGGTATAGATCCAAAATAACTGAAAGCAGGGTATCAAAAATACCCTGACATTTGTACAAATATCTCTTTGTACCATGTTCATAGTAGCATTATTCACAATAGTTAAAAAATGGAAACAACTCAAGTGTCCATCAATGGATAGGCAAAATGTGGTATATTCATATACTGGAATATTCAGCATTTAAAAGGAGGAAATGCTGCAATCTGCTGAACTTGGATGACATTACACTAAATGAAATGAGTCAGTCACAAACAAGTATTCTATGATTCTACCTATATGAAGCACTTAAGACTAGTCAAAATCCTAGAGACAGAAAGTAGAATGGTGGTTGCCATGGGGAGTTATTATTTTTTAAAACATTTTATTTATTAATTTTTAGAGGGGGGCTGGGAGGGAGAGAAACACTGATATGCGAGAGACACACCAATCGGGTTTGCAGGCTGGTGCTCAATCCACTGAGCCTCACCAGCCAGGGTGGCCATTATTGTTTAATGGGTAAGAGTTTCATTTTTAAAGATGAAAAGGGTTCTGGATCAGATGGATGGTGGTGATAGCACAACATTATGAATATATTTAATGCATTGAAGTATATACTTAGTAATGGTTATTTTGGTAAATTTTATGTTATTGTATTTTACCACAATACAAAAAATTTTTTAAAAGATGTCCAATTAAGATTCAGTACTTTTTATTACAGATGCCCAATCTGTTAAGAAAGATGAGCATGCAAATTGATGGGAGGGCATGGAAAGGGTCTGAAGGGAGGGGTTCTAGGTCAGGTTTGGGCTTTGAATGAAGGGAAGGAATTTGGAAAGCAGAGCTGACCAAGATGACGGAAGGGAACAGCTTTCTGTCACAAGGAAGACAGTGAAGACACGAAAGCCCAGTGATTTTTAGAGAACACTCATCTACTGAAGATACTCCAGCAGCTATGAATTAAAACTACTTAAAACATTTTTAAAAATGTATTATTTCTTTAATATTTATGTACCACACAATTTTTTATGAGTTCACAGTTCTATCCCCATCAAACCCTAATTATTTATTGACTAAGTTCTAAAGATATCATCTTAAAAACTTGTTTATCAATATTTGTGATTGAATGTCAGTGTTTAATCTACAACAGAACAGAGTCCTGGGCTTTCTGTAGTATCTCAAACACAGCAGTTACCCAAATGTTGTTTATGTAACAATTAAACCCTTGCCTTGACTTTTATTGACTTTTATTGGCTTTCTAATAGCATACATCAAAGAAGGTCTTCATTCATTATACTTAGGTTTGCTTTAGGTAATTACTTTTTACAGACAGAAATGGAAAGGATGTTACTGATTACTTCTTACAGATTAACGGGGAAAAATGTTGCAAATGCAAGGGAACATAAGAGTAATTGGTCTGGTTACACTTCAGTCCTTGGGAGAATTAGCACAGACTTTGGGAAGTTACTTTAAAGATACGCAGTAAGCATCTGCTGCCTCAACTCAGGGTGAGGGAGTTTTAGCAGGAGCAAGTCACAAAGCAGCCTAGGTATAATGCAGGCAGGCCTGATTTCCCACAGGAAAACCGATCCATGGGTTTGGCATCCTGTGTGCCACCATGTGCCTATGGGCCTTCCCATAAGGCTGAGCTACATTTGCCATTCCACGCAGATAGGTTCCCTATAGGTTATATAAATGAATATGCTTGGTCTTAGAAGATATGCTGGACTAGGGGTAAAGGGTCATTTTTACAATTTATTTTCAAATTATCTAGCAATAACTAACAGAGAAAGTAAAATATGTAACATGTTAACAGTTGTTGAATCTGTGGGTAAGGATAAAAAATACTGTGTTCTTGTTCAATTTCTGGATGGTTAAAACTTTCAAAATACAAAGTGGAAAAGAAAATAGCTGATAACTATATAAAACAATACACTGCATTTGAAATCAACAAAGGTAAAATAATGGTAATGCATATAATTATCAACAAGCACATGAGAAATTCAGTCTAATAGAGAGGTAGGGAAAGAACCAAATACAACAGGGTAGATTTGGCCTTAGGAGTCTCACCTTGACTTGTCTGAGATTTTGAGTACACGAAGGGAGAGGGAGAATGAGTATATTCGGGGCCTCTTAGGCCTGACACTGATTGCCATTCAAGAAAAAATCATGAATGCATAAGGAAGAATAAAGTTTCAATCAGAGCTAAATAAATTTGGAGATGGATACATACAGAGACACACACACACACACACACACACACACACACACAGAGACTTGTCTTACCAGATGTTAAGATATGTTACAAAATCAAAATAACAAAAACTGTCTAGTATGGGTACAGGAACAAATAAATGACCAATAAGACATGACAACTCCAACTTGCACCTAGGCATGTGTAGGAACTTCACATATGATAAAGGCGGTACCATATGGCAAAGGGAATATAATAAACTAAGCTTAGTATGATAGCACCTGTGGCGGAAAATAAAGCAGGATCCTATATGTTCCATGCAAAAGGGAACTCTGGAGGCAGTAAAGACATAAATGTGAATGGTGCAACTATAAACACAATTTTAAAATATAGGATAATATATTTGTGACCTTGGGGTGGAGAATTAAACAATAACGAAACAACAGATGGATCTGACTATGCACAATTAAAAATTTCAATAAAGAAACTATAGAATTAAAAACAATGCAGAAGAGATTGGAAGATGTGCTGTCCAAAGCTGACAAAAGGTTTAGCTAGAATTTAAAAATCAACAAGGAAAGAGGAAACCCAATAGAAAAATGGGCAAAAGATAGAAACACATAATTCACACACAGATTAGGGGTTACCAAATTGACAATGAGTACATAAAGACATGTTTAAATTTAATAAGAATCAAACAAATGCAAGGGTCTTGCCATTTTTACTACCATTAGAATGGAAGGCATTAGAAACATGGATGACTCTGAATATTAAGGAGACACTGAGTATAAGGAGAATATAGGGTGACAGGAAAACTTGTTCATTTTTTCTGGTGGAGTGATTTTTAAAAAATATTTATTTTTAGAGGGGAAGGGAAGGAGAAAGAGAGGGAGAGAAACATTGTTGTGTGACAGAGAAATATCTATCGGGTATTTCTGGCACACCCTAAGTGGGGACCTGGTCTGGAACCCAGGCAAGTACTCTGACCAGGAATTGAACTGGCAATCTCTCAGTTTGCAGGCCATCACTCAATCCATTGAGCCACACCAGCAAGGGCTGGTGGGGTAATTTTTAACTCCTATTTTATATTCTATATCCAAACCTTCAATGAACCCTGTTTCCATTTCCACCCTTGCCCCTTCTTCCCCACTGTATGTTCTTTAATCTATAACTGGAATGAGCCTTTTAAAACATAGGCCAGATCACATTAATTCTCTGCTCCATGTGCTCAATTTTCTCTACATATCAGATCTCCAGCATAGGCAGAATAATGGCCTCCAAAGATGTCTAAGGTTGTAGATGGAATTAAAAGTTGCTTAACCAACTAACCCTGAGGTAGGGAAATTATCCTGGACTAATTGGTGGTTACCAATGTAACAGCAAGGGTCTTCATAAATGAAAGAGGCAGGGAAGTCACTGATGCGATGTCAGAAGGATTTGACAGGCTACTGCTGGCTTTGAAGATAGGAGACCACAAGCCAAACAAAGTGGTAAGCCTGTAGAAGCTGGAAAGGTGAGAAAACGGATTCTCCCCAAAAACCTCCATAAGGAATGCAGCCCTGCTGACATCTTGATTTAAGCCCAGTAAGATGCATTTTGGACTTTTAACCTCCATAACTATAAGATAATAAATGTGTGTTGTTTAAAGTCACCAAATTTGTAGTAAATTGTTACAGTGGCAGTAGGAAGCAGACATACAAAATAAAAATCTGTCTTTTCAGACTCCTCTCCTGTCTCACTCACTCTGTATCAGTCCCATGATCTCACTGCTGTTCCTCAAGCAGGTTATACCAAACCCTCTTCCACCTCAGGGCCTGTGCACTTCCAATGCCCTCAGCCTGAAGCAATTTTTGAATTGCAAAACAATTCTGTTGGAGATGATTGGTGACAGAGGGCCTGAGAAGAGGAAGAGCGAGCTGACTTCTGCTTTTGGCCATAATACAGAAACAAGGACCAGATTTATCCTCATGCTCTAAACATGCTAAAAAAATAGACAAAACACATGAAACCATGGTTTTAAAATATTATTGGACAATAGGCAGTGCAGGCGAGTAATCCCTAACAGAAATGAAATAAACAAGGTGAGCCCTGGAAATGCTCCCTGCCTGGAAATTTCAATCTTCAGCACAGGGAGGGGGAACCCAAATTGAGTGAGTTATGTCAAGGAGTTGAGAAGAGAGTTCAGAGTTTGTGGAGGCCAAGGTAACTAGAATTTGGAGAGCAGAGATGGGCAGTGAGAGAAAGCCCCAGTGATTTGCAGAAGATTCCCCACCATCCTTTAGCTGAGTACTTACAGTGCACATGTGTAAGGCACATATTGAGGACTGGGAAAGAACCAGCAAAAAGAAGAAGGTAGACACTGGCAAGGATATAGAGTTCCCACCAGCCTGAGTGGAAAAAATTCCTACTACATGGAACAATGAATAGAGTCCTCACAAAGACACTGGCTTGGTAAAAGGGCCAAGTTAGACCTAGATAAAGATTACTGTAGACCTAAAACTCAAAAGCAAGCTTCTAAAGTAGCATAGTCCAACAGAACTTTCTGCAATGATTGTCCAATATAGTAACCAGTAGCTGAGTATGTATACTTGAAATGTACATCATATGAGTGAGGAACTAAAATTTAAATTTTAATTTTATTAACTTATTAGACATATGTAGCTAGTGGTTACTATTTTTGATAGGGTAGTTCTAAAAGACCAAACTGTTTCCAGGTAACCTTATGGTATCTCAGAACAAAGCCTAAATATATTTTAAAGAAAAACAACTTCCAGCATCCAACAATGTAAAGTCTGCAATGTCTGGTAGCCGATAAAAACTTATGAGCTATAGAAACAAGCATAAAAATATGACCGACCCATAAATAGGAGGAAAAAATCATTTAATAGAAACATACCTAGAAATGACACAAATTATAGAATGAATACACAAGCACCTTAACAGGTATTTTAATATGTATTCTGTATTTTCAAGAAGTGGAGCAAAGCATGAATATGATGAGGTAAGAAATGGAAGATATTAAAAAAATTAAACTTCCAGAAATGAAAATACAGTTCTGATAAGAAAAAAAATCCCATTGTGGATGAGATTAACACAGTTAAAGGGAAAAATAGTGAACTTGAAGATACATCATAGAAACCATCCAATTAAAAAATAAACAAGAACATCAAGCAGCTTCATATATGTACAATTGGAGCTGCCGGTTTCTTTGAGACAAACAGGGAGGTACTCGGAAAAAAAAAAGACAAAATAGAGGTTTTTTATACTGAAGCTTATGAAATAATGATGAGAAAATGAAGGGAATAGAAAACCAAGACCTCAGAATTGCACAGGAGTGTGTCACAAGGGAGAGTGAAGAGATACTATGAGAGCATTAGCTGGGGCAAGAGGAGCACTGACCACTAGGTTTTCATTGAGGGAAGAAGATTTTTACTGTCTTGGGCTGGTGGAGGAAATCAACAGTTATGATGTGAAAAAAAAAAGTCTTCATGCTCTGGTTTGGCTGTAAAATGATCTTTACACTTCCAAAGAATCTTCAGTAACATCTAAGTGGCGTACAAAAATGCTTAATTCCCATCTGCCCACCCCCAGCCTCCAAGCGAAGTACTTTCCTGCCTCCTATTAATAATCCTCTCATCCCCCAAGGTTTCAACTCTGAGAGTTTTGAGGTTCCTACATTTTTTCCTCTTTCTTTTAAATAATGCTAGATAATGAGAACATTTTATTCCAAATAATCTTAGTATCTGAAGAGAAAATGAGGTTATACATTGTTCTCCCTAAAATAGTTTTTCAGGTTGGTCTTTGAGAGCTCATGCTTTTTTGTAACTTATTCTGTCAATTAGGTATAATTGTATTTCAGAGAAAATGCACCTCTTGGGCCTCTGACTTTATCTAAAATAGCAGCAACACTAATTTTTTTAGTATCTAGTTATATTTACAAAGTATGATACCTGAAAATAAATGCTACAAAATATGAGAAAATGTAATGGTATACATGATGAAAACTCTGAGCAGAGAATAAAAACATATGGCATTTATATTTAAATGTACTTTTTATGAAGAAATTTGTTCTAATATAAAATGTTTATGCCTGCCAATAATATACTGTGGGAAAAAATGAGTACGTACCTGTCAAACCCAGGAATTGTGAGATTACTTTGGAAATGTACAGGCGAATACTAAATCAAGATCCTCAGAGAACAGCTTTAAAAACCTTGTAATCTATTTTCATCTGTGGAAAAGACAGGGGGACAAAGTCACCACTAAAGTTTAGAAGCCCCTGGGTTATTTAAGAAAGGTGAGACATGTTAAACATTAAGAAATTAATTAAAGACATTTCTTTTCAAGCTGGGCTCCAAAATTTTAGCAGAGTAAAATGTAGTTCATTCTTTTTTACTAAAAAGCTCACTTTTGAACTTTTAGGTAATGTGATTAATTTTAACATAGTTGGATGGCCCAAAACATGATAGCTGGTTAATTTAAAAGTGTTCCCTAATTAACAGGATATAAGTTTAAATGGTATTGACCAGGGAAACAATCGATATACTACTATCACTGACGTATTATATACCCTTTCATTTTTTGTTAACCATCACCAGTTTTTCTTGAAAGGGGATGGCATGTGGAGAAGGAATACCAATCAGGAATCTGCGCTTTCATTGTTAGTTCTGCCACTTCCCAATTCAACTCTGACTGGGTAACTCAGGGCTGACTGAAACCGCCGGCGCTCACCGAACATGCTGGCTCGCTCCCTGGGTGCTGCGGCAGGACCCAATCTCGGAAGCTCCCCGAAACCCCGCTGCGGCAGGAGAAAGCACCAATCTCCCAGAGCCCAAAAGCAGCTCTGGGGAATACAGTTTACTGAACGTGGGTCCAGAACGGGGCCTAATGTTAGAGAAAACTGGTACAAAGCCGTAGCAGCCAAGCAGCAGGTACTCAAGAGCTTTAGGAAGGCAGCAGAAGGGCAAACCGGCCTGCGCATGCGCGTTCATTCCAAGTGCAGCCGCTGGTGACAAGGAATAAGATTCAGATAGGTCTTGGAAAAAATAGTAGCGGCTGGTTACCAGGAGACGGGACGCTCGGATTGGACGTCTAAGCGCTGCGCCGGCGTGCGCCTGCGCGGCGCGAAAGGACTAGAAAGAGGTCTTTTTTCAGGAGTCTGCTTTAGGCTGGCGGGTGGACGTACGCGTCGCTACTTACGTGTGTGCACGCACAGGATTGGTGGTCCCCGCGAGAGGCAGGGTCCAGCCAGGTACGCGTGCGCACAGGGACTGTGGGCGCGCAGGACGGAAGCGAAGCGTAGGCGCCGGGGAGGTGGAGGACAAGCCCCCCACAGGTACTGAGCGTGAGGGCGGGGCCGACGGAGGCGCCGGTCGGCGCTAACCGCCCCTGCCTCTTTCCCCCCGGGTCCCGCCTTCCTCCTCCTCCACCGGGGCGGGGCTAGGTCGTTTTGGAGGTGGGAAGGGAAGGGTAAGGGGCGGAGGATGGTAATGGGGTGGGGCCTGGATCCCGGGCGGAGACCGAGACCTGGCAGTCGCTGGGATGAGCTCCACGGAGGTGTGCGGGCTCAAAAGTCCGGGGAGGGACCCGGAGCTCCAGGTAGAAAGCAGCAGTGATGCGCCAGGATGGGGTAAAGCAGCTTCTGGGCGGGAAGGCCTCTGAGAGGGCAGCTGCAAGAGGACTGTGTGGCGGGGGTTTGGGGGCTGTGGGTGACACCGAGGTAGGTATTCACTGCTTGAGCTTCTGTGAGCGGCAGTAGCAGGCAGGATTGCGGTCCCTGAAGCCCTCTTGTAGCAAACTTTGCTTCTGTTGCCGTTTCTTAGGAGCTTAGGTTTGAGCCCAGTTCCTATGGTGACCGCTTCGCTTCTTGCGACAGCTCTCCACTTGGTTGATGGGAACTTTTCGGTGTAGAAACGCTCTGGAGTAGAGCCGAGGAATTTGAAAGTCAGAGATTTGGGAGTTAAACCTGGCTCATCCTAATTCCCAATCTCTCACTTCTAAGCCTCTTTACAGATTTTGGGAGGCCGAGATTACATAGGCATTTGCATGAATATCTCATACAATTATTTCAGTCGGAAAGGCAGGGTAAGCTGACTTTTATTTGGAAAAATAGTTGAGACGAAGTGAATAACTGAGGCGATCATGGACCTAAATACACATAGGAATACATTTTTTTTCTTTTAAATAAAGTCAAGGATCGCGGCTTCAGGAAAACTTTGCAAAGATGATAGTATCCCAGAATATTTCTTCTTCCACAACATGCCCTTATATCTCAGGATATTAGGTGTTTTAAATTTTCTCTATCAGCATTTCAACTACACTTCATTTTTGTTGTTGTTTTACTTATAAGGACATAAGTAGAATAACAATTGATTTTTTAAAAGTATAACAATAACAGGTTAGTTATTATTATAAAAGGAAAGTGTCACATCATTTAAATCTGTCCCCAGGATAAAACTGATTTTAGTTTGTATTTTAATTAATGAACAAAATCAATCTAAATTAGTTACATAATTAGGAAGATACATTAATGAAATATTTATTTTAAATAATAAACTTTGGCATTAATTAATGGCAGGTTCCCAAATATATGCTATTTTGTTTATCTTCTGAAAAAATCACTGCGTTAGCCCAGCATATAATCAGTTGTAGAGATTTTCTGGGCTCTCTTTTTGTCTTCCTTTTTAGTTGCTTAGTGCAGTTTGTTTAAGATAATTCGCTTTTAAAGTACTCCAGATAAAGAAGCAGTTAAAGCAGGTATTATTATTTATCCCTTTTTCCCTTCACCCGGTTGTAGCCACTATGATAGCCACTTCTTGCTTTTTATTTTTTTTAATAGTTCCTTCATCTTTATATGTGAACATGCACATTCTAGTTTGACTTGTTTTTGAACTTTATATAAATGGAATTTTACCAAGTGTTTCTTTGCATTTTGCTTCTTTACTCGACATTGATTTAAAGATTTATCCTTGTTGCTTATAGTTTGTTGTTTAGTGTTCTGTTGTAAGAGTATACCACAGTTTACTCTTCTCTTGGTGGACATTAAGGATTTTACAGTTTTTGATAAATGTGAACAACACTTACATTTCATATACATGAACCCCATATACATGTACCCCGTGTTAATCTTTTTTTCCCATGATAATCATTTAAAGTGAGCTAGTTAGTAAGGCAATTCTGTCTTAGTTATGCTACTAACATTTGATTATATATCATTCAATTCTTTTAGTTCACAAGTTCAGAAAAGCCTTTTGGAAACAGCTATTTGAACTTTTGTCTTTCCAAGAGGTCTTGATAAGTGGTAGCTCTCCTAAGGCCATTTATTTATGCTCTTCTAAAAGACAAGTTATTTCTCTACAGTATAATTGGAATTGAAGAGAAATGAGGACTTGGGGTTTAAATGGAATGACTAAGAGAGATTACTTCTTTTTCATAAAAAAGGTTAAACATTGTGGCTTACTGTTTTGTTTGAAGTGAATTCCCAAAACATTTGTTCACTTATATTTATTATAAACAAAAAAAAACCTATGTCAAAATTGTTCAAAATTTGTATGGTTCTCTGTATATCTTTCTGTAAGTGAGGGTACTCCTTTCTATTTCAAAGTATTTATCAGTCAAACACTTGGGGACAATTTTTTTTTTAATCTGTCTTGCTGGGTTTTTTTTTTTTAAGATTTTATTTATTTATTTTTAGGGAGGGAGAAAGAGAGAGAGAGAGAAACATTAATGTGCGGTTGCTGGAGGCTGTGGCATGCAACCCATCATGTGCCCTGACTGGGAATCGAACCTGCAACACTTTGGTTCGCAGCCCGTGCTCAATCCACTGAGCTACGCCAGCCAGGCTTACTTGGGGACAATTTTATAAAAAGAAAACAAACTGATGTATTGTGGGACTAGAATTCAGAATCCTATATAAAATACTCCAGTAGTTTCAATTATTCTATCAAAATGTTTGGTAGACATTCGCTGAGCACGTTATATGCCTGATATTTTTGCTCAACACTGATACTTTTTAGCACATGATTTAACTTCCATTTTCACTGAGAAATTAAAATGCTACCAGGCAGAGAGATCTTCACATTTCTACCTCTCATCTTAATCTTCCCTGATATAGCTTTTTTCTTTTTTGTCTCGGAGGAGACAGACTTCTACCCCTTATCTAACTCTTCACCTGCTCTTGCTTTTCTCTTTCTTGTCTCAGAGAACAGTGCACACCTTTTACCTGGGTTTCCTTTTTGTTAACCCAGTGGCCTTTCTCCATTAGTTAACATTAACCCATGTCTTTCAATCTTCATTGTGCTTACACTATAGGGCATCTTAACCTGGAGTACAAGAATTTAGGGAGTTCTTGAACACCCTGAAATTGTAAAGTTTTGTATGTGTCTGCATTTAGAAGAGGATCTGGGACTTTTGTTTAATTCTGGAAGCCTTCCTTGATGTAAAGAGAATTAAGAAACAAGTTTTTCTTCTTTTGTAATGATGCTTCAACAACCTCGGTCTTCTAACTTTCACTCCACCTCTCTTCTCACAATGATACTTCCTAAAAGAAGTCTACATTTTCTATTTCCTTTTTATTAATACTAATTTATTTATTAGTCCTCATCAAATTTACTTTCACCCCATCCCTACCATTAAAACTACTTTATTCTAATCATTAAAACTGATTATTTTAAAAATGTTTTATTGAGTACCATTTTTTAAAAAAAATTTTTTTAAGATTTTTAAAAAGATTTTATTTATTTATTTTTAGAGAGGGAAGGGAGGGAGAAAGAGAGAGAGAGAGAGAGAGAAACATCAATGTGTGGTTGCTGGGGGTCGTGGCCTGCAACCCAGGCATGGGCCCTGACTGGGAATCGAACCTGCGATGCTTTGGTTCACAGCCCTCGCCCAATCCACTGAGCTATGCCAGCCAGGGCTGAGTACCATTTTTTAAAAAGATTTTATTTATTTATTATTATAGAGAGGGGAAGGGAGAGCAAAGAGGGAAAGAAACTTTGATATATAAGAAACATGTCAATCACCAACTGGGGGCCTGGCCCACAACCCAGGAATGTGCCCTGACTGGAAATCAAACCAGCAATTAGTTCGCAGGCCAGCACTGAATCCACTGAGCCATACCAGCCAGGGCTGGTATTAGAGAGCTGTAACTGATTAGATAAGAGTCTAGATCTCTTGGAGCTTACATTCTAGAAGGGGAGTAGACAAGTGAAGAAATAAATGATATGATTTCAAATAGTATAAGTGTAAATAACCTAATAACAAAGTGATTAGGAGAGAGGCTACTTTAATTAAGAGGTCAGGGAAGACCCTCTGATATTTCAATGGAAGAGTTGGGCTGAGGGTAAGATGGAGCCAGCAATGAAAAGGGCTTGAGGAGAGTGTTCCTGGCAGAGGCAAAGCTGGGACAGAAGCTTCAAAATAGGATAATATTGGCACAGTGGAGGATCAGAAAGAAAACCGATAAAGCTCATTGGTGAACAGAGAGTAAGTACTAGGTCTGTTTTGGGAAGTGAAGGAAGGGGCCAAATCATACAGGAGCTTAAAACGTTTGGAAATTATACTAATTGCAGCGGGAAGCCACTGGAGTATTTTTAAGCAGGATATCATTGTTTTAAAGTGATTGTTTTGATTTCAGTTTGAAAAATAGTTCTATGGAGCAACAGTAGAAGCAGAAAGATCAGCTAGGAAACTGTTGTTGGTTATCCATGTGGGAAATCATTGTGACTTGAAACATGGAGATGGTAATAAAAATGCAGAAAAGTGGG